CATTAGGGGGAGTAAAATACGCGATGCACTCTTTTTCCCTTACTAAGGTTTTTCCCATGGGGTATTCCTTATAAGGTTTTTAATGAGGCACCTAGAAATGCGTCTTACTAAATATGTGTACTCTTTTTCCTTCACTGGGATTTTTTTCCCTCGTGGTTTTTCCTAGTAAGGTTTTAATGAGGCACATTATCTTTTAATGAACATCCAAGGGGGAGTGTTATAAATATATTATATTATGGATGTTCATTTAGTACTCCGTTGTAAATAAGCTTCCTGAAGAAGCTTATCCATATGGGACTCCACCGTAAATATGTTTATCTATTTAGTACTATATTGGAAATAAGCTTCCTGAAGAAACTTATCACTTCGGTACCCGATTATGGATAAACATTACCCCCAGTAGAAATTTATCCATATCAGGTATAATAAGCTTATCTTTTCAGTACTCAGTTATGGATAAACATTACCCCTAGTAGAAGATTATCCATACCGGGTATAATAAGCTTATCCATTCAGTACTCCGTTATGGATAAATATTGCTCTCAGTAGAAGATTATCCATATCTGGTACAGTAACAACTTACACAGCAGCTTACAACTTACACTGCAGCTTGTAGTAGCAGCTTACAGAGCAGCTTCCTTTCTTCTATAAATAGAAGAGATTTCAGTTCATTATGTACATCAGTTTAAATTCGAATAATATATCAGTTTCTCTCTATACTTGTCTTTACTTTATAGTATTTGTTTCGTAACAACAACATTAATTTTCATCTTCCCTCCAAAAGCTAAGTTCTTATTTTCCATTTCCCTCTCTTCGCTAACTTCATTCGCCTTCATCAAAATTTCAAACTCTTTCCTCAACCACTTGATTTCACTCTACTTTTCCTTCCACCCTACCAAAACAATTATCTCCGTAAAATTCTCCTTGTTGCGATCGAAGAGTAAGGTATATCTGTTAAGGTGAGAAGGGGAAGCAAAATTAAGTACAACAAATTGGGAGGAGAAACCCTAAGGTGACTCACATAGTTAAGGTTACTAATTTCCTTATTCTTTCTCTCTTTGTCGTTGTTACATTTGTGAAAAGCTCAAGAAATATCTATGCAAGTATGTGGTAACTAATTTTGTTCATTATTGTTTTTAGGTATTTGTTAAAATGTCAAAACCAGTTGCATTCATATATCTGCCTTCAAAATTACGTAGCTTGTGATGTAATCATGAGGACTATTTTACCAGGTAATGAGTTATTCAATTTAGACAAGATCTTGAATCTTGATAATATTTTGCCCCTACTAACTAGCTATGATTTGCACTACCCTATTTCAAACTTTATTTTTATTTTTTATTTTTGTGACATGTGTTACAAATAATTCCCTGATAATTGGCAATCTGGCATATGCATATATTTTCAGACTTTGATGCATCAATAAGGTGGTAATATTTCTCTTGAAGTTATTGTAGGTATTAAAATATCTATTCAATATATGCCTAGGTATTATGCACAAGAGTTTAGAGGCATAAGAAAAGTGTTTGGCTTCTCTGTTATTTTTCTGACTTTAGAACACTGCAATAAGGTCATCAACTTTCCGAAGTGAATGTTAAATGCACAAGAGTGTGCATTTTTTCCAATACTGGAGATTGGATAGAAGTTGGGTTTGGGGTTTTTGAGGGAGAGATTTGTAAAAGAAAAAAATAAATTAAGTTGGCTACTACTATTAAATTAATGTTGAATTCATAAAAGATAAAAGAAAAATGTAAATGAAGTTAACTGCCAAGATACAGAGAACTATTATTACCGTTGAATTCAAAAAATGAAAAAAGAGAAACAAAAAATGTGTAACTATGCCGTAGTTGTGTCTTGAATGTTGGATGGCTAGGTACAGAAGGAGTGCAAGCGGGCTGCTCGACCAACGTAGCTGCTCATATTTTGTGAATGCTGGGGGCACAATTAATTTATATAAGAGTTTCGGGATGTATATGCAGACACATATACACAATTTTTGCCGAGGCTATCGGGTGCTGGTGACCCCTCTACTCACAAGGTAGGTCTGCCTCTGTACCCAAGATTAGTGGCCTCTAATATGCATTCTTTTATATATTTTGCTAGTATAACTTTATTATTTCTTATTGAATACTTTGAGTTTCTTCTCAATATGTTCTCATCGTATTGGTTTTTGTTGTATCTAATTTAATACAAAAAATATAACTACGTCGTAACGAATTACACTGGCAGCCGATTAACATTGGTTCCTCTTCTAAAAGAACTTATGGAAAATGAAATCCAAAGTATAAATATTCAGGTAAAGACCAACTCCTCAAGCCACCATTGTCTTGTATTTTATTTTTTTCTACTGTATTAATCAATTTCTTCTCAATTTCCAAATGAACTATTGTGCATTCGTTGTGTATGCTCGAGGAACAAGTGAGAAATTGCTGGTAATTTGCCATCTCCCTGAACAAGTCAACCAATTTTTCTATTATTTGCCTTGCTGTTATTCTTCCAGTTTGTATTGCTTTTTTCCTTTTTTTTCTCACCCATTTGTCTACATATTAACTTTCTTCCTAGGAATCCTGTGCTGTTACACTATCACACTTTCTTGAAAATTGAGTTTCAAGTAAGTATATTTCAGCATCCTATCTGTACTCTTAAATCTTAAAATTGAAATCCTATTATTTTGTGTTGGGACTTTGACATTATCCAACTTGAGACTGTTTAATATGGACATGTTTGATGCTAGTTTTTATTTTACTTTTAATCATCCCTTGCTTCAGAACTCTGATCCAAATTTACTTTCAAATCTTCTTTAAAGAACAAACATTATTGCATTGTGATTTATTTGCTTAGCTAATCCCATTTAACATTTAAATAAGCACATGAGATGATGTTTCTTGATCTCTTGATATTCTTTTTTTGTTACATATACACTGCTACTTCTGTTTTGGGCTGAGATATACCATTAAGTAATCCTATTTGATTCTCAAAGGTCCTTAAGAATTACTCAGACAAGATTTTCCATGGGATCATGTCGAATTGTTTGCTAATTATTTTTGCCATGGAAAATTTTGTACTTATTTTAATCGTTTTCATCACGGGTCAAGCCTTACTCATTGCTTATTGTTTCTTCTCAGGTAAGAGACCTTCCCATTGATATACTTTGACATAATATGCAGTTAATTACTAAACTACTCTTTATCTCGGATCAGTTTCTATATATCTCTGAGTCTGCAGTTTATTTTGTTGTGTTATACTAGAGGTTCTAGGAAAAATTGACAATAATACAGATGCACATACTGTGGTTATAAAGATTATGATTTAACATATGCTGCTTCTATCCATTGACTACTATTCTATTGTAACTGATTTCGACGGCTTCTATCTCAAAACTAAGATGATAGTACTGTCTTACATGAGCCACACAAAACTAAAGTTGTTCATTTTCCTCTTGATTGTTGAAAGTTAGAAAACAATAGGTTCTACATTCAACATATGTATATTGAGATGTAAGAAGTAGATCATCCTTCAAGTGATTCTAACTGAAACCTTGTTACTTGTTTTACTTAAGCAATTGTTGGTGTCTTTTAGAGTATTTGGAAGGGAGCATTATCCTTGTGTTTCTTTATTTTATTGTACTTCTCTTTTACCTATTTCTTTTTATACTTTTTTTCAACCAACTTATTTGGTTTATCTTGTAATATTATTTCCACTGGTTAATAATTGAAATTCTGATTCTCTTGGAGAAAAATTTCCTTGTCATCATAGATTCAGTTATTGGTATTTGCTCAATGATGACATGCAAGTACTGATCCTTGACGATTTTGCAGATGAAAACTAACAAGTGTAGTATGTGAAAGGAGAAGATGTAGAGATGACTGTATTGTGGAAGACAAGCAAAAGAAGTTCAGCATAGGAAGACACTATTGTGATCAAGATTTGCAGAAACCGGGTGTTGGAGAAATGTTAATAGGCTAACTACTGTCTTGGATTATGAATATTTGATGATAGTAGTTATTTGACTCATACTGATACTAGCTTTCGAATTCAAATGATGTATTTTTTTTATGTTGTTGACACTCTTGCAATATCAAGGTGAATTTAAAGAAATATATTGTCTTTTAGGATGAAAGGTAGCCTATTTTATCAAAAAAGTTTTATGTTATTATTTAGTGCGAATATTATCACTAATAAGCATATTAATGATGTTGGAATCACCTTTTAAATGAAAAATAGGTATAATGTTTCCTGACATTTTGATGCCATTATAATGATCCTTAATTTTCTTTTATCGGCAATAAAACAAATAACTACCGACCAAAACAAAAGCCATTAAAACCATATAAAAAGGTTGATTCAGGGGCACTTTTAGTGGCTATTGTAATTGCTGCTAAAAGTCAGATCTTTTTAGCGACAATAACTGAGATCTTTACCAGCAATCTAAATAATGCCGGTAAAGCTTTTAGCGACGCTGGCTACAGCGGCAAATAATTAATTGCTGGTAAAAGTTTTTGCAGCCATTATTATTGCCGCTAAAGTGAATATTTATTGCCGCTAAAGCGAATATTTATTGCCGCTAGAATCCTTTTTTGCAGTAGTGTCTATGGTTGCGTATAAATACTTTGTAGGAGACCGTTGAAACCGAAGAGATTTGCCAACCCAAGAGATTTGATCCTTGGAAGAAATTGATTCTTTTCAAGAATAAGATTAATTCACGTTACTCTTCCTTGATGTGTGGACTTTGACAGTTTTCCATCTTTAAGTCTTGATAGCTGCCGGATTTGCTCTTTAAATCTGGGTCCTTCCAGTAATAGCTTCTGATTGATTATCTTGCCAGATTTTCAGTGCTTCTTTTCCTTTTTAACGCTGATTTTTACTTCAATCAATCCTTTTGAATGCTTCAATCAGTCTCTGATTGATTTCTTCCTTCAGCTTTGATTGCTTCTCTTTTTGTATTTCGATCTTGGTTGATTTCCTTGAGTCCCTACACCAAAAGCAATTATATTATTTTTCATCATTAAAACTAAAACATAACAACCGGAAGATGTGATTTTGAAGTGTTTGCAATTGACAAGGTATTTTATATTGGGTTATGCACTCACAATTCAAGTTTCTATTTTGTAATTTATGTCTTGCCATTATCTTTTAACGTTGAAAATTCAACATGGTCATAAGCCTACTAGTAAATGATTTAGTCATCAAATGAGTTTCTTTAATTTATTATTATTATTATTATTATTATTATTATTATTATTATTATTATTATTATTATTATTATTATTGTTATTATTATTATTTTTTGCAAAACATAGAAGCTATGTGAAGAACATGTAAAGCAGTGAAAGAAAGAGAAGGTTACTAAATTCTACAATGGATCTGATAAGCAAGCAAGACCACCCAAAAAGCCACAATGTCAGTGCTGGTTCAACTGGATCACCCAGGAGTTCAAGTAGAAGACAATTGGAAGATTTTGAAGGCGAATAGAGAGATAACTCAACGGAGTTCAACATTTAATAATTTTTATTAAGCAAATCTTATCTTATCATAATGTTCCTAAGGATTTTTTAATAGAAGTTGGAACAATTTGTAGATCATCAAGGAACAATAATACAAAATACTCCGATATATATGCTTTGATTATCATGTAAAATCTTAAACACAGAGTACTCACGTGATAAAGTGAAGTGTAATCCACTTTTAGAATCCAATTTCATAAAACAAATCAGATGAACAAGGAAACCCAACGACTTATTCTCAATGAGAACGTCTCAATATGTGCAGAACTAGGGTAAGATGCGCATGACTGGCGTTTTTGAAGGTCAAAAGTGTTCAGTTGGATAACACAAGGACCCAAACCAGAATATAGCGATAACTCAAGGACTAAAAGAGCTATTTTCCCTTCCCGAAACATTTAAGCAGTTTTCTTACATTCCTCTAGTTGATCAGGACAATTACGAAACATCATCAACCGGTTGTAACTGTTTTGTTAGGAGCACATGCATTGGAGAGGAAAAAGGAGAAAATGAGAGCTGATATGTACAACAATCCCCGCCTGTGTGAGCTTGTACACATTCAGTCTCAGACCTGGATAGAGGAGTTAGGTTGCTTTAGGATGAGAATCAACGAAAAACTAATCAATTCATGATAAATTCTCATAATACAAGAAATGTGCAACCACAAGCCAACAAAAAAATATTAAAAAAAATACAGTATGATATATCATGGAAACTGATAACTATGAGTTTAGCTTGGTAAACGATGGCAAAACCAAATTCTTCATCCTAAACACAGCTATAAAAGAACAGAAATTATTGCTAAGATTACATAAGTTTACACTGGAAGCATGGCAAAACAACTCTACTACAAACACTTTGTCAATGCTTCCAGATAATCTAATCCGACATAGCTTCCTATGTGTGCAAAGGCCATTTGAAATATAATAAACATCTATCATAAAGTGCTTCATTTATTGGTAGGTTAGTATATCTTACGTCCTCTGGGGAACCAATAACCTCAGTAATTTAGTAATCATCATCTGATGATTTAGGATATGTATCACTATCTGCTCCATTACTAACTTAATGCCAATTTATCACACAAACATTGATATGCTGCACTGCAGGCCTTGAACTTCTCTTCTGCGACGGCCTGTCAATTAACAAAAAACTTGTTATCTACCTATAACAGTATTACAGAGAAAAGATAAAGAAAGGCTTGAATAGTCTGATCTGACTTCCACTCTTGACATGAGAAGAGTGACAAGTACTGAATATTGACTTCTTGAATTTTGGTTCCTTTTCTTTTTTCGCTTTTGCGTGTGTGTATTTATATTTAATACATGAACCAGCAGTAGGAGCTCGACCAATCATTGAGATGAAACAGCACTATGAACATATTGATCATAAATGAAGCATGGAGTAGTCTGCGCTGTATGCACCATAGGGAAAAGCCAAGCGGAGCATGATGGATGAGGGTGGAAAAGGGTAAAACCTCAAAACAAATATGTAATAATGAAATAGATATACCTTAGATGAACCCTGGTGGCGATCAGGATGCCATTTCAGTGCACATACACGATATCTGCAAATGTAAAGCATGTGCAATCAGTGATATAGACGTTACTTTAGCCAATAAGGATATCAAAGCACATCTGAAAGTAAAATCTTTTTCTCGTTGGAAGTTTATTAAATACTCACGCATTCTTAACATCTTCCAGATTCAAAGGGCCAGATGCATTCAATCCAAGTGTCACACGCTGCGAACTCAAATCTGACTCTGAATTTTCAGAGTCTGTTGACTCATCATAGTCTGAATATTGATATCTCTGATTCCACCTATGGTTGTTAGAGTAGCTTGATGAGTTCCTCCATTGTGGTTCTTCATTCATAAACGACCAGTAGTAGTATTTGTTCCCGCCAAATGCTGAACGGAAAAAGGTCTCTATCTCAATATCATTATCCTCAAAGAATTGGAAACCTCCTGAAAAGGAGATGATGAAAATCAGTTATTGCTCAATACTCGAAAGGCACAGACTGATGATAGCTAAATGGCCTGGTTTGACAAACGAAATACACAAAGAAAGAAAAATATGCTTCTTTAAATGACACTTTTAGAGCTAAAAATAGTTGCATTTTACAAGATTGAACTCCAAGAAAGGGGAAATTCTCCAGACTCTATACACTGAATTCCACTACAAAAGGTGCACTTACTCTGTTGATGTGGTCCTTTGTTCCTTGATCTTCCCCCTTTGTTTCCACTGGCCCTGAAATCTCGTCTAAACCATGAACTGTCTCGGCTTGAAGATGGGTCATATTCATCACGGTCAGGCTGCCAGCCCTGAAATGCCGAAAAACAACGTTATAATAGAATAGTTTCTTCAAAGCAAAGAAAGAAATAGGTATATTGGGTAACTACTCTTGACTTTTAGGACTTCAGAGTTAAATGGAGTATGTAAATGCGTTTGAGAACATAGATACGCTGGAAGGTGGCAACATAATTCTTTGTAGAGAACCCTTCGAAAGTGATAGTCTAAAGGCTTTGAAAACTGAATGTGATGTAAGCAGCTACTTGATACGGCCAAAAATTTCCAAGCTTTAAACTTGAAGCCCCTTTTTCTAGGAAGAGAATAATGTTGTCAGCAACACGAGAAGAACGTGTTACTGGAAAAGAGGAACCTCCCTTGTTGAATGTACTAGTGCTCGTTTGGTTGGTTAGTTTAGGGAATTAATCATGGTATAAAACTTCGCATTGTTTTGTACATTGTTTGGTACTAGTTTGCTTTTCCTCGTAAATAATACATGTATATGTATAAGTTATGCAGGAATCTATGTATTATTTTATGCGGCATACGGTGTGGAATAACAATAAGGGGTCGCTTGCTAGGATGAAAATAGTGCATGTATTAACTCTGGCATTATTAATGCCTTGTTTGGTAGTTTTCTCCAACCTATGTATAACTAATATCTGTATTAGTTATACACCAAATTCACTACTATTTTTATATATAGCAGACCATGGCATTAGCAATACCATAATTTTTAATACATGGATAAGCATGTATAAATACAGAACTGTCCTTTCAAAGCCTAGAATACACCAAACCAAACGGTCGATAAGAAATAATCCCAGCATAATTAATCCCAATATAACTAATCCCAGCATTACTAATACATCCTACTATCCATATACACCCCAGTGTTTTTGAGAGCGCGAAGCGCAAAAAAGCGACAAGGGCTCGCCTCGCTTCAAAAGCGAAGCGCACACTTTATTAAAGTGAAGCGCAATTCTTAAAAAACATAATGTAAAATTATAAATAATCAAAAACTTCAATTTAAATACTTAAAAGTAGGTACTAGGTACCACCAAATCATCCACAAACCATAGGACAAGTAAAATCAAAGGTACTAAATTACTAGAATCAACATCTTATTCTTCTACTCTTCTTCTTCTTCAAGATTGTCAAAATCTTGAATTCCTCTATTATCTTCATATTGCTCGTCATCTTCTTCTTCCCCCTCCTCTTCATGATCACTTTCATCTTCATCAATTAGGGATAGGGATCGACTTGTAGTAGCCAAAAAGAAGCAGAAGAAGCATAAGCAGCAGAAGAAGCAGAAACAGACACAGAAAAAG